TAATGACATAATTGATTTGATGAGTTCATTATAAATTCCGATGGTGTTAGATTTTACAATAAATAAAAAAATGTTTAGAAATGTAGTATTAAATATTATATTTAATATAATGAAGAACTTTGAATTTAAATGCTTTATGAAATCTGCTATGCTAGCAATTCAAGAAAAGCTAATAACTTGTAAACAGACACCAAAATATATTTGTAACAAGAAACCCAATGTAATGAAATCTTAGTGAATTACATATTAGTGAAATTTTGAAAAACAATAAAATTGACATCATTTATAGTTGCTGTATATGCTTTTTATTTTAGCAAAACATTTATTAATTAAAGTACTAGTGTGACTCAATAATATTGTTGGCTGAACCATATTGCTACCAACCAATGTTGCTTTTAAATCAAGTGATTGTAGCCATTTGTTGGCATTGTAAGAAAGATGCTGCATCTGACCATTCTTCTATTGTAATTATTAATTTTGTATCAGAATGAATGTTTGTGTTGAATGTTCATGACAATGTGAACTCCAGCTGTATTCGAAAAGCTGAATAGGCTAGCCACATGTACGCAGTGCGTACCTATTTTTTATTTAATTTTTTACACAAATAAAAAAGACTGCTTCATAATGCCATATTTACACACATAAAGTAACATATATTTTCATTTTTTATTTAATTTTTCACGCAAATAAAAAAGACAGGCTTCGTAGTACCATATTTACACACATAAACATATATTTTCATTTATTTTTTATTTAATTTTTTACACTAATAAAAAAGACGGGCCCTTATTGGTAAGGTGTGGCCCAGCCACTGCTGGCACTACAACCTCTCACATGATCCTGTTTGGACCTTTTGAGAGACAACAATGTATATTAAGATTATAGTCAAAACCTAAACACTACTGCACTACTGCTTGTACACAATGAACGACAAGCTGGAATGAATAAGATTTGAAAATAAGTTAAATTTTAGCATTAATTAATAGAATATATCAATATCATATAACGTATATAAACGTTAAGAGTCGGTTAGAAATACGTTGATAATGTGTTTTACATACCAGCACGACCATATTTATATCGCAACACATGTATGATCTCCCATAAATATATGGGCACTTCCACCCGCAATATGTATGTTAAATTTGCCAGCCATTTCTTCTGCTTTGCTTTTTGCTGCCATTTCTTTGTTCTCCATCCTAACCTGCGATCAGGCGTCCCACTTTTCAGGCAATAATTTTAGGGAGTTGCTTGTGTGATGTTACTCTGAGTGTATATCCACACCGGGCAGACTTAAAAAATATGCCTGGCCACGGTGGGATTCGAACCTACGACCTTTGGAATACTAGCCCAATGCTCTTCCAACTGAGCTACGCGGTCAGGACGGTTCGATATAAAAGATGGCCGTGGTCGTGCTGGTATGTAAAACACATTATCAACGTATTTCTAACCGATTCTTAACGTTTATATACGTTATATGATACCATTAAAAACAAAACAGATCCATCATTCTCGTTCCCAGAGTATGCCTGTTCGCGGGTTAGGTTGTGGCACAACCTAACCCGCGAACAGGCATACTCTGGGAACGAGATTGCAGATCCATTAGTGATACACACTGCAGTGCCTATACATTTAAATCCGGCATGTACTAAAAGGCGAAACGACAAAACCATCGAAACGACCGAAACGAAAGGCCGAAAATGTAAATTACAGGAAAATTGAAAAATGCGGATACGGACGGGGGGACAGGCGGATGGATGGGGGGGGGGGACGGCTTCAAATTTGACACGAAACTCAATTTTAAAATCAAATCCGCGTTTTGTTGAAAGGGATATATTAGGATATATTATAAAAGACTATTATTAATCGTAATAAATTGTCCGCGAAAAGTTGATAAAATACATGTGGAATGCGGGGGTTTTCGAACCTTCGTAACGCTTGATATTAAGGATAAAACGCGGATATGCTGCAACTTTCATGCTTAATATTCTCAGTCATCTGGGTATGTAGTAATCTAATTTTATGCAATGTAATGTGCTATTTTTTCAAGCGCTTTTCAATGCAGTTACCGGTTTAAATATACCTAAAATTCCCGTTAAGAGATATGACAATTAAGAAGAAGCCGAAAACCCTAACTACAGGCGCCAGTACGATCGGCACAATGTAGAATATTTGAAGAAAAAGGTGGGAAATTGTTCGTATTACTTAGGGTTTTCCGCATTGTCTGTATGCTAGAAAGGCTACAATAACAATTTAATAATATAGTCTTACTCCTCTCTGCAGCAATTTTGCAGGACAACCTTCCTTTCTGCACCCGCCATTGCTTCCAGATACAGGCTTGCTTCAGTCGTCTGCATTCTGCTATCGAAATCGACATCCGCTAGTCTTCTTTGGCCATCGTGGCCACTAAAAAAAATCAGGGCGGTATGTGCCCCTTAGCATATTTTGCTAAATGTGTTTGCGGCCGTTCTCATCTCTGTCCTTTTTATGTTCAAGTATAATAGAACCTATAATAAAAGAAGAGTGAGACAATTCAGACATCAATTAATGTCTCAGACCACGATTGGTAATAAAACAACATTGACGCGTTAGTCACAATATTACATTTGAACTTTTTAAAAAATATCACTCTTTATAATATAGGGTAATGACCTGGAGCCTCGTTTTCGTATTTCATCTTGTCATACCTTAAATTCCATCTTCACCATTTTTTCCGCAATTGACAGCACGCTTGTTGGCGTGTTTAAAGGTGTTATGGTTTCTACTTGTAATCGTTAATCGTACTTCCATTTTCGGTTTATTATTTTCGGGTAACTGAATTTAGGCCCACCCCACTCCGCATGCCAACATTTTGATTTTCTGAAGAAACGGATCACAAGTTTTAGATTGCTGATTTTGTTCCGTTCATATTTGAGTATATATTGGATGACTCCATCTAATCTATAAATTTCATGTTAATGTCATATGAACCTTGAATCCCATTTCCACCAATTTTGTGGCCAACAAAACCACGTATGTTGGTGTTTCTAATGTGGGTAGGCGTTTGTACAGTTGGTTGTTCGCGATCGCTAATGCAACCTTTGCTCCTAAATAACACGCCATGTAATTAAAAAAAACACTCCACATTATATTTCAAAACCATCTTTGGCAGGGGTGTAGCGTGGGCGTTTTGGACGCTCCATTTTGCTGCAAGATGCGTGGTTTCTTTGACACTTTCGATTGTGCCGTCAAAGTCCACGGCCGATAGCCTTGTCTGGCCACTTTATTTTTCATTTCACTTATTTTTTATTTTAATTTATTTACTTCCAATTTATTTTTAATTAATTTTTTTACTGAAAAAGAAATGTTAAACTTTTTTAAAAAATATCACTCTTTATAATATAGGGTCATGACCTGGAGCCTCGTTTTCGTATTTCATCTTGTCATACCTTCAATCCCATCTTCACCATTTTTTCCGTAATTGACAGCACGCTTGCTTGGCGTGTTTAAAGGTGTTATGGTTTCTACTTGTAATTGGCTATCACCAATGCAACCTTTGCTCCTAAATACACACAATGTAATTAAAAAACACTCAACATTATATTCCAAAACCATCTTTGGCAGGGGTGTAGCGTGGGCGTTTTGGGCGCCTCATTGCTGCAAGATATTATATGCTTTCTTTGACACTTTCGATTGTAAACATGCAAACACTCTATAGAATGCTTACCAAGCCACTATATAACGTTTTTTTCTTTGATCTTTAACTCTCCTTCCAATATGGGATCTATTGGCGTTGTTGGTGACCTACTTAGCAATTTAAAATTTTAGAAGAACAATCTTCCGCTCTGCTGCCGCCATTGCTTCCAGATAAAGGCTTGCTGCAGACGTTCCCATTTTCCCATCATACATGTAATCGACGGCTGCCAGCACTGTCTTGAAATCAAGGTCACTGCCATGGCCACTAAAAAAAAAAGTGCCGTCTGTGCTTCTTCGCAAATTCTCCGGAAGGTTCTCGCTGCAGTTTCCATTTCTTCCGCCGTAATGTTAATCGATGGCCGCCAGCACTGTCTTTCCATCAAGGTCACTGCCATGGCCACTAAAAAAGTGTGCCGTCTGTGCTTCTTGGCAAATTCTCCTGAAGGTTGTCGCTGCAGTTTCCATACCTTCAGGTCGTAGTTGCTGAAAACTGTGACTGGGCCAGTCGGTAATCCTGGCGGTCCTGCTCACATGTAAACAAAACCTATTCGAAAATTATTTTTTTTTCATACCTCCACAGTCCATCGCGATTCGGCAATGATGACACCGCCTTGCAACATATGGATTGCCGCGGAGACTTCAACCATGTTGGTCGCAATGGCGGCCCAGCTGAAGTTTACCTTCAAGTCATAATTGCTGAAAACTGTGACTGGGCCAGTCGCTAAGTCCAGAGAACAAAGATAAATACAATCAAATTAGCCTTTCTTACGCAGCCATTTTCAGGTGGCAACCTTTTTAGAACCTTTTCATTTATTTTTTCTTCCCAGACACTTTCCTGACATACAATTTTTATGTGATCTATAATTTTCATTTTGTTGTTTCGCCAAACCACATCCTGCTTTAGGCTGCTTATCGCACGTTTTGGGAATTAAACGTGTTGGTGTACGTCCAAGAATGATTTGAAGATGATGTAAAATAATCTTTCTACTTATGTATCTTCTCAGAAGAAATCCATTACAAACAAAACCATTAAAAATAAAACAAGTCTCATTAGTTCGTCGTCCAAAACATCATTGGCCGCTAGAAAGGTAAATAGAATGCTTACGAAGTAATAATTATGGTCTTACTCCTCTCTGTAACAATTTAGAAGTAACACTTTTCTTCCGGCTGCTGTCATGCTTCCAGGACAGGCTTGTATTGTATATACTCCACAGTCCATCCCGATTCGACAATGATACCGCCTTACAGCATATGGATTGCCGCGGAGACTTCAACCATGTTGGTCGCAATGGCGGCCCAGCTGAAGTTGACCTTCAGGTCGTAGTTGCTGAAAACTGTGACTGGGCCAGTCGGTAATCTTGGCGGTCCTGCTCACATGTAAACAAACCTATTCGAAAAAAATGTTTTTTCATACCTCCACAGTCCATCCCGATTCGACAATGATGATACCGCCTTGCAGCATATGGATTGCCGCGGAGACTTCAACGATGTTGGTCGCAATGGCGGCCCAGCTGAAGTTTACCTTCAGGTCGTAGTTGCTGAAAACTGTGACTGGGCCAGTTCGTAAGTCCAGAAAACAAAGATAAATACAATCAAATTAACCTTTCTTATACGCAGCCATTTTCGGGTGGCAACCTTTTTAGAACAGGGAATAATGCAATGTTTAAACACACATAAAAAGACATTTTCATTTATTTTTTTATTTATTTTTTCTTCCCAGACACTTTCCTGACATACAATTTTTTATGTAATCTATAATTTTCATTTTGTTGTTTCGCCAAGCCACATCCTGCTTTAGGCTGCTTATCGCACGTTTTGGGAATTAAACGTGTTGGTGTACGTCCAAGAATGACTTGAAGATGATGTAAAATAATCTTTCTACTTCTGTATCTTCTCAAAAGAAATCCATTACAAACAAAACCATTAAAAATAAAACAAATCCCATTAGTTCGTCGTCCAAAACATCATTGGCCGCTAGAAAGGTAAATAGAATGCTTACGAAGCAATAATTATGGTCTTACTCCTCTCTGTAACAATTTAGAAGTAACACTTTTCTTTCGGCTGCTGCCATGCTTCCAGGACAGGCTTGTATTGTATATACTCCACAGTCCATCCCGATTCGACAATGATGATACCGCCTTGCAGCATATGGATTGCCGCGGAGACTTCAACCATGTTGGTCGCAATGGCGGCCCAGCTGAAGTTTACCTTCAGGTCGTAGTTGCTAAAAACAGTGACTGGGCCAGTCGGTAAGTCTAGAAAACAAAGATAAATACAATCAAATTAGCCTTTCTTACGCCAGCCATTTTTGGGTGGCAACCTTTTTAGAACCTTTTCATTTATTTTTTAATTTATTTTTTCTTCCCAGACACTTTCCTGACATACAATTTTTTATGTGATCTATAATTTTCATTTTGTTGTTTCGCCAAGCCACATCCTGCTTTAGGCTGCTTATCGCACGTTTTGGGAATTAAACGTGTTGGTGTACGTCCAAGAATGATTTGAAGATGATGTAAAATAATCTTTCTACTTATGTATCTTCTCAGAAGAAATCCATTACAAACAAAACCATTAAAAATAAAACAAATCCCATTAGTTCGTCGTCCAAAACATCATTGGCCGCTAGAAAGGTAAATAGAATGCTTACGAAGTAATAATTATGGTCTTACTCCTCTCTGTAACAATTTAGAAGTAACACTTCTCTTTCGGCTGCTGCCATTGCTTTCAGGACAGGCTTGCTTGTATTGTTTCCTGTCGAAATCGACGGCCGCTAGCCTTGTCTGGCCATCCAAGCCACCGCCGTGGTCACGAAAAAAAAAACCCCAGGGCTGTATGCGCTCCTTCACATATTCTCCCGAATGTCGATGCCGCCGTTCTCATTTCTTTCGTGATGTTCAGGTATAATCTCGGAGTCTATAAAACGCTTACCAAGCAAACGCCACTATGACATTTTTTGTTGATTTTCATTCCTCCTAATATGGGATCCTGCATAATGTTGGTGACCTTTTTCTGGTCGATTTTCATTGCATTCATCGGTTCCTGCATTGTCTGTATGCTAGGAAGGCTACAATGACAATTTAAAATTTTAGTATTTTTCCCGAGTTCTGTGTCAATAACAATAATTATGGTCTTACTCTTCTCGCCAGCAATTGAGCAGGACAATCTTTTGTTTTGCTGTCGCCATTGCTTGGAGATAAAGGCTTGCTGCTGGCGTTCCCATTTTTCCATCATACATGTAATCGATGACCGCCAGACACTTTCGATTGTGCCGTCGATGTCCACGGCCGATAGCTTTTTCTGGCCACTTTATTTTTCATTTCACTTATTTTTTTATTTTAATTATTTTATTTACTTCTAATTTATTTTTAATTAATTTTTTTACTGAAAAAAAAAAGTCTTCAGGTTTTCAGTCGTATTTGTACGCTTACATGCAGTATGGTTGAGACGTGTATTATTGTTCCAGTTAAAACATAATGTCAATGTGTAATGGATATATTCCTGTGCGTAATACAAAATGACTGAAAACGGCAAACTTCGCAAGGCTATATTATCCGCATTTTACAACATTTCACAACGAAACTTTGGAATATTACTAATTTTGTGATGCTCTTTCAAGCTGTAGTGAAATGTTTGTCTAGACTTGTTGAGATCAAAATTGTTCATCAGGAATAGGTCCATTAAAAACATTGTAATTGAAAAAAATACGCATGTGAGGATATAAAGTAACATGCATATATATAGATATGATCTTTTGTATTTCCATCGAATACCTGGCTATAACCTTGTTTATTATATTGACTATGGCCTTACCTAGTCCGTATTGCTCCCGCAGAATGGCAGCATCTTTTTGTTCGTTTACATTGGTACAGTTGAGAAACAATTCTTCATCCATCGTGCTGTGGCGACATATTCTTCCAACTCTTAAATCCTTGATCTTGTATTGGTCAACAGCCTTACCTAGTCGTATTGCTCCCGCAGAATGGCAGCATCTTTTTGTTCGGTTTACATTGGTACATTGGTTGAGAAATAATTCTTCATCCATCGTGCTGTGGCGACATATTGTTCCAACTCTTAAATCCTTGATCTTGTATTGGTCAACAGCCTTACCTAGTCCGTATTGCTCCCGCAGAATGGCAGCATCTTTTTGTTCGGTTTACATTGGTACATTGGTTGAGAAATAATTCTTCATCCATCGTGCTGTGGCGACATATTGTTCCAACTCTTAAATCCTTGATCTTGTATTGGTCAACAGCCTTACCTAGTCCGTATTGCTCCCGCAGAATGGCAGCATCTTTTTGTTCGGTTTACATTGGTACATTGGTTGAGAAATAATTCTTCATCCATCGTGCTGTGGCGACATATTGTTCCAACTCTTAAATCCTTGATCTTGTATTGGTCAACAGCTATATTAACAAAATAATTACAGAATTAGACTGCTCGGCATGAACGGTAATATGTTGATGTTCATTGCTTGTGATTGTGCATGTCTGTATTACGAAACGGAAGACATTAGGTCACATTTTCATATGGGATTGCATAGGTTAGAATTTAGGGGCAAGTTTATTTCTTGATCACCTGGCATAAAAAGATTCGAATTCACAAAATCGACAGATCTTCGCCAGCAATGCTCAAACTAATCTAGTTTGCGCATTTCACGTTGTTTGGACATTCAAACCTGATTCACCCGAGTGAGAGGATAAGCAGAAATACACAAGAAAGTTTCACAACTGGAGCTAGCTTGCAAAGACAAGGCGGACAGTTTCACATATAGCCACGTATACGTTCTGGCCGTTACTTCGTTATTATTTGCTATTATTAGAGCTATTATTTACCAATCACCTTATTATAAATCTACAAGTTATGTAAAACATGAACCATGCATGATTTACTTATATGCATGCATTAAGGCTGATAGATAGGCCTATATACAAAGTTTTGATGCATTGCACTGCGCACTGACATGGTAATGAAAATAAGAACTTTATTTAGCATGACTATAAATTAATGAGTTTTTTAAAGTCTTGCAATAAGTCTATCTAGCAAATGAAGAACACACAAAGAAATTTATTAAAACTTAAATGCGTTCGAACCTTTGGCCGTTTCTATTAAAATTGTTTCAAAACTTTTGTCATCGCCAATTCGTTTGGCCAGCTCCGTAGGGAACGGCAGAGAGGTTTTATGACCGGAACAGCTAGAAACAAAAATAAAAAATATCAAGTCATCACATTAATTTTCTGGACTGGTCTACCAAAGTTCTAAACTCTTCCTAGGGATTGATCCAGTAGAGTCATTGAAGTCCTGGGTGGATTTTGCAACCCTGCATGTTCACAGGTCATCCGGATTTTTTTTTTGTTTTTGCTAACGTACGGTAGATCTGGATACGTGTGTATTGTTTTGTTAATATAGATGCAGGTGTATTTTTTTTTAAACTTGCAACAGTCCAGATCATAACACGTATCCGTGAAAACGATGGGAAGGAAAATAATTCCAGTTAAGGACTTAACCCTCTCCTACGAAGGCTACAATAACAAGTTAAAGATTTTTCCCGAGTTCTGTCTAAATAACAATAATTATGGTCTTACTCCTTTAGCAGCAACACTTTTCTTTCGGCCGCCGCCATTGCTTCGAGGTGTCGGGCTTGCTTTCAGCACAGCTTCGAGGCTCTCAATTTTGGCGTCAAAATCCACGGTCGATAGCCTTGCCTGGCCATCCAAGCCACCGCCGTGGTCACGAAAAAAAAAAACACAAAAAAAAACCCCAGGGCGGTATGTGCTCCTTCACATATTCTCCCGAATGTCGATGCCGCCGTTCTCATTTTATTTCGTGAGGTTCAGGTATAATCTCGGAGTCTATAAAACGCTTACCAAGCAAACGCCACTATGACATTTTTTGTTGATTTTCATTTTTCCTAATATGGGATCCTGCATAATGTTGGTGACCTTTTTCTGGTCGATTTTCATTGCATTCATCGGTTCTCGCATTGTCTGTATGCTAGGAAGGCTACAATGACAATTTAAAATTTTAGTATTTTTCCCGAGTTCTGTGTCAATAACAATAATTATGGTCTTACTCTTCTCGGCAGCAATTGAGCAGGACAATCTTTTGTTTTGCTGCCGCCATTGCTTGTAGATAAAGGCTTGCTGGCGTTCCCATTTTTCCATCATACATGTAATCGATGGCCGCCAGACACTTTCGATTGTGCCGTCGAAGTCCACGGCCGATAGCCTTGTCTGGCCACTTTATTTTTCATTTCACTTATTTTTTATTTTAATTTATTTATTTACTTCTAATTTATTTTTAATTAATTTTTTACTGAAAAAAAATGTGTTCACGTTTTCAGTGGTATTTGTACGCTTACATGCAGTATGGTTGAGACGTAACAATTCACTTGCCGACGTGTAACAATTCACTTACCTTTAAAAATATCTGGATTTTTTTATTCCACAATCCTTTCCAATGGCAGGTGTTCTTTCTCTTTATGGTTATATTGGCATGGCCACTGTAGTCGTGCACCACTGCATTCTTCGCCTTCTTCACATCTGGTGAAAAGCCATCATGTCGTCGCGTCATTTCTGTTTCAAAAGGCAAAGTTCGTACTTTGGCGAAATTCTCACTTTTCGCGACAACGATCCCTTACCGTCTCTCTTTTCATACACCATATCAAATCGAACCGTCATTGGCTCCTAAACAAGAAAAAATAGTATTAGATGTCTTAGATTTCTACAGATTTGACAAGAAATATATAGAGAGCCTTACTGAGAACCCTACTAAAATTAACGTGCTTTTGATAAATATCACTTCGGGTGATATGTTTCTGATTCCCTGTTGCTCCTGGTCTTGTAAATAGAAAGGTGTATTGGTCACCTCATTCACAATTATGAAATAAAATATATAATATAAATGGTGTAACACAAACATGTGTATTGCCAAGGTATTTTGTCTTCCCAAACCCTTTCCTGCCATTTAATCTTTCATTATGGTCTTCTTTCTACAGCAATTTAGTAGTAAAATTTTTCTTTTGGCCGCCTTTATTTCTGCAAGGTACAGGCTTGCCTTTCCTGCACTTTCGATTGTGTCGTCGCAGCAACAGTCTGAAGCAAACCTTTTCTCCAAATGACTGATTTTTCCTTCTATCACTGTGCCAGTTCCTGGCGAATGAGCATCACCATCATTTCATTTATTTTTCATTTATTTTTAATTTTCATTTATTTTTAATAGTTAATATTTTGGGCAATCATCGCTGATTTGTTCTGTTCTTATTTGAGTATATATTGGATGACTGCATCTAATCTATAAATTTCATCTTAATGTCATACCTTGAACCCCATCTTGACAAGCTTGCCTACCATCAAAACCACGCTTGTTGGTGTTTCTAACGTTGGCAATCTTTGGTATTGGTTGTTGGCGATCACTAATGCAACTCCTAAATAACACACAGTGTAATTAAAAAACCACTTAACATTATATTTCAAAACCGTCTTTAGAGATATGGAAGACTAGTTTCAATTCAATACGAGTAATATGAGAGATGTATTATCGTTATTTCTAGTCAATAGTGTTTTAAAAAAATATTAAAGAATCAGACGTCCAAGAAGCATGCATGCAAAAAGAAAAACAAATTTAGCTAATATAATACCTCGGTTCGGTTAATGTTGTATATCTGTAAAGTCATCTGGTCCACAAGTTGCATATTTACAGATTTCGGTATGCCCTAAAAACATGACTTAATTAATAAATTGCAACACAAAATACCGGAGTCGAAATGTCAGGCACAACCGCCAATGAGCGCTTTTTCAAGATTTAAATATATGACGTACTTCTCTACATACCACGGTTTAGAAATATTAACACCAACATGGAAATTGTTGCCACCACCTCGACAATATTTGTCAATCGAGATGGCAGTCTATGTAAAATTTACTTTCATATCATAGTTGCTGGGCCAGTCGGTAAGTCTAGGAAACAATGATAATGCAATCAAATTAGCCTTTCTCACGCAGCCAATTTCGGGTGGCAACCTTTTTAGAACAGGGATAGTACCTTGGACTCCATCCATTTTTGTGGCAATGGGCAGCACGCTTGTAGGTGTGTTTAATGGTGGTATGGATATGTACTTGTAATTAGTTATCACTAATGCAACCTTTGCCCCTAAATGCCTTGTACAAAGAAATGTATTAAAACTTAAATGCGTTCGAACCTTTGGCCGTTTCTATTAAAATTGTTTCCAAACTTTTGTCATCGCCAATTCGTTTGGCCAGCTCCGTAGGGAACGGCAGAGAGGTTGTTTTGTGACCGGAACAGCTAGAAACAAAAATTAAAAATATCAAGTCATCACATTAATTTTCTGGACTGGTCTACCAAAGTTCTAAACTCTTCCTATGGATTGATCCAGTAGAGTCATTGAAGTCCTGGGTGGATTTTGCAACCCTGGCATGTTCACAGGTCATCCGGATTTTTTTTGTTTTTGCTAACATGTAGATCTGGATACGTGTGTATTATTTTGTTAATATAGACTTAAATATACGATTAATTTTGCAATTAGGATAATAACTGTGGCTCAAAAGAAAACTTTGTGGTTCGTTACGAAACAGTTGACCACACACAATCACACTTGCCATGCACAATAAAGAAGCTTTTTTCGGCTTCAGTAGATTAAAATATGAAATTAACTAAATGCATCTGGTCCTGTTTAAGGAATCATCACAATGATGTATCGTTAAGGAATCAGCACCAAATGAGCAACGCGATATTTACGGGTATACAATAAGATATTTTCATTTATTTTTTCAAACAAATAAAAAAGACAGCTTCGTAATAGTGCCATATTTACACACATAAAAATGTTTTATTTATTTTTTCACACAAATAAAAAAGACAGCTTCGTAATAGTGCCATATTTACACACATAAAAATGTTTTATTTATTTTTTCACACAAATAAAATAGACAGCTTCGTAATGCCATATTCACACACATAAAAATATGTTTTCATTGATGAAATTATTTTAGTGAAAGGTTCATTCACTTATACCTTTAAAAATATATTCATTTTTTTGTGTAGGGAAGCTTTCCAGTTAGATTTATTTTTAGCTTTTAGCCAGATACTTGCCCATCCGGCATAATCAAATAGCACTTTGTAATCTAGTAATAATTAAATGTGAATCACAATTTGTCGCTTTTCAGAAAATTACGTCCCAAACACTTTGTTGGGTAACTAGCCTGCGACTATTGGGTAACTGGCAATTCTGTCACATTTCATCAGTTAATATATACAAGTCTTAGCTGGCCGGGCGAAAGCAGAGATTTGCATAGTAATTATTAAAAAAGGATAATTTAATCTAAAGACGATATTATCGTCTTAAGCTTACAGATATTATTGAGCAATGTTTTTATCGTGAATTTTTTAATAAAATGGTGAGAATATTCAATAACCATATAACCCAGATGAATATTTTTAAATTGTTTCTAACGTTTCAGTTACCTGTACTGTAGGCATATGGCATATGGGCTGTATGCCATATTCCTATCTATACATTTGCCGCGATATGCCAGGAGCCGGTATACACTGGACTAATTACGCAGGCTCGCATGCCTTGAACGCAAGCGGGAGCAAACAACCTCACGAACACAGAGTAGAGACGTACAGAGCTGTAACTGACTGTCGTAAACACTGCGGAAGCTTACGTTTTCATGTGCCCAATTTTTTTCAGGCGACTGGGAAAAAAGTGATCAACTGCGCGTGCTCAGCAAGTTTAAAGTGAGTCGTCATCCAATCAGATGCATGCCGGATTCAAGCCCTTCAGTGAATTATATAACAGATGCATTTGACAATACTTTCATAGTAAGAGAGAACTGAATTGTTAAATGCGAACTACCTTCTCCCAGAAAACGAATCAGATCGGCACGTTGAGCCCGTGTCAAGTTTTCAATATTCAATTTGTACGAGCCCATTCTAATGAAAAAGAAGACATTAATGCAAGCTTCGTACAATGCCATATTTACACATAAAAATATGTTTTCATTTATTTTTTATTTATTTTTTCACACAAATAAAAAATACGGGCTTCATAATACCATATTTACACACGTAAAAATATATTTTTCATTTATTTTTTATTTTAATTGTTCACACAAATAAAAAAGACGGCTTCATGCCATATTTACACACATAAAAATATGTTCTCATTTATTTATTTATTTTTTCACAGAAATAAAAAAGACGGGCTTCATAATACCATATTTACACACAAAAATATATTTTCATTTATTTTTTATTTAATTTTTCACACAAATAAAAAAGACGGGCTTCATAATACCATATTTACACACGTAAAAATATATTTTCATTTATTTTTTATTTTAATTGTTCACACAAATAAAAAAGACGGCTTCATAATGCCATATTTACACACATAAAAATATGTTCTCATTTATTTTTTTTTTTTTCACAGAAATAAAAAAGACGGGCTTCATAATACCATATTTACACACAAAAATATATTTTCATTTATTTTTTATTTAATTTTTCACACAAATAAAAAAGACGGGCTTCATAATACCATATTTACACACGTAAAAATATATTTTCATTTATTTTTTATTTTAATTGTTCACACAAATAAAAAAGACGGCTTCATAATGCCATATTTACACACATAAAAATATGTTCTCATTTATTTTTTTTTTTTTCACAGAAATAAAAAAGACGGGCTTCATAATACCATATTTACACACAAAAATATATTTTCATTTATTTTTTATTTAATTTTTCACACAAATAAAAAAGACGGGCTTCATAATACCATATTTACACACGTAAAAATATATTTTCATTTATTTTTTATTTTAATTGTTCACACAAATAAAAAAGACGGCTTCATAATGCCATATTTACACACATAAAAATATGTTCTCATTTATTTTTTTTTTTTTCACAGAAATAAAAAAGACGGGCTTCATAATACCATATTTACACACAAAAATATATTTTCATTTATTTTTTATTTAATTTTTCACACAAATAAAAAAGACGGGCTTCGTAATGCCATATTTACACACATAAAAATATATTTTCATTTATTTTTAATTTAATTTTTCACAAATAAAAAAGACGGGCCCTTGGTAAGGTCTGGCCCCCAGCCACTGCTGGCACTACATTACCTTTCACATGTGTTCAAACCTTTGGCGTTTCTGTTAAAATTATCTCTAAACGTTTTGCTGCATCGATCCTTTTCGCAAGCTCCGGTAGGGAACGGCACCGACTTAACCATCTGATGAAGGGAAAATAACATCAACTCTTTTAAGAAACGACTTAAAACTCACTTGTTTAGAGAAGCATACGCTAATTCTTAAATTGAACGATTGTCTTATTCTTCTTTACATTTTTAATATTTTAGTATATTCCATATTTATACATTATAGTGTACAGTATAGAAACATTTGTTATGTTTTGGAAATTTGTAAAGCGCATTAGATCATATATCAATGTCATATCAATATATCGATATTAAAATTATTATATTATACCTCTCTCAATGGTGTCCCTAGGCCTAGTTTCGTCTGTTTTCTTCAGATCCTAGAACACAGAAAAAATTAATCAATTAAGGGTTTCAAATAGAAACACTTATAAATTCTAGACGATTCAACTCTCCTTCCAATACGGGGGTGTATTGGCGTTGTTGGTGACCCAAGGCTACAATAACAATTTAAAAATTTTAGTATTTTTCCCGAGTCCTGTGTCAGTAACAATGTAATTATGGGCTTACTCCTCTCTTGCAGCAATTTTCCAAGGCCACTGAAGAAAACCAGGGCGGTATGTGCTGCTTGGCAGATTTCTGGAATTTTTTGCCGCCGTTCTCATTTCATTTTTTTGAATGTTCAAGTATAATAGAACCTATAATAAAAGGAAAGTGAAACAATTCAGACGTCAATAATGTCTCAAACCACGATTGGTAATAAAACAACATTGACGCGTTATATAGTCACAATATTACATTTGAACTCTTTAAAAAAGTATCACTCTTGTTAATATAGGGTCATGACGTGGAGCCTCGTTTTCGTATTTCATCTTGTCATACCTTAAATTCCATCTTCACCATTTTTTCCGCAATTGACAGCACGCTTGTTTGGCGTATTTAAAGGTGTTTTATGGTTTCCGCTTGTAATTGGCTATCACCAATGCAACCTTTGCTCCTAAATACACACAAAAAACACTCAACATTCTATTCCAAAACCATCTTTGGCAGGGGTGTAGCGTTGGGCGCCTCATTGCTGCAAGATATTATATGCTTTCTTTGACACTTTCGATTGTGCCGTCAAAGTCCATGGCCGATAGTCTTGTCTGGCCACTTTATTTTTTATTTCACTTATTTTTTATTTATTTTTTCACACAAAAAAAGATGTTTTCACGTTTTCAGTCACATTTGTACGCTTATACATTTACAGTACGGTTGAGACGCATGTCGTGTAACAATTCACTTACCTTTAAAAATATCTGGATTTTTTTATTCCACAATCCTTTCCAATGGCAGGTGTTCTTTCTCTTTATGGTTATATTGGCATGGCCACTGTAGTCGTGCACCACTGTGTATTCTTCGCCTTGTGAACATCTGGTGAAAGCCATCATGTCGTCGCGTCATTTCTGTTTGAAAAGGCAAAGTTCGTATTCAACTTTTCGGGATAACGATCCCTTTTTGTCTCTTTTGTCATACGTTATGTCAATTCGAACCGTCATTGGCTCCTAAACAAGAAAAAAATCAGTATTAGATGTCTTAGATTTATACAGATTTGACAAGAAATATACAGAGCTTTACTACTGAGAACCCTACTAAAATTAACGTGCTTTTGGTAAATATCACTTTGGGTGATATGTTTCTGATTCTCTGTTGCTCCTGGTCTTGTAAATAAATAGAAAGGTGTATTGGTCACCCTCATTCACAATTATGAAATAAAATATATAGATGGTGTAACACAAAAACACGCGTGTATTGCCATGGCATTTTGTTTTCCCAAACGCTTTCCTGCCATTTAATCTTTCTGTTGCCGGATTAAGGGTAACTGGCGTGATTTTATTGTATCAATGGATGAAAAATTCTGGACAGGAAATACAGCCAGTTCCGTGTGGAACGGCAGATATTGCCAAGGCACTTGTCTTCTTCCTAAATGCTTTCTGCCATTTACCTTGTGCTGTTTCTATCAAAATGGTTTTATACTAAGACCACATGTCGGATGGTACATGTACATTATTCGACTCTGGCCGGTCTTTCTCGAAGCTCTTTGTTCGAACTGATCAGCTTTTCCAGATCCGTCGGGAACAGCAGGTATTGCCAAGGCACTTTGTCTTCTTCCCAAATGCTTTCTGCCATTTAGTCTTTCTGTTGCCGGATTAAGGGTAATGGCGTGATCAAGGGTCATTATTCAGTTATAATAATATTTTTTTTAAAATTATAATTAAAAAATAAATTTAGGTGTCGAAACATTGGCTATAATCTCTTCTTACATATACAAAATGTGTGTTTGAGTATAGTAAAAAAACACAATATACTGATATTATATAGGTGTAACATGTAACGAAAACAACATATTTTTTCATAAAACACAAACGAAATGCATTGTTTCCAATTTAGCATCCATTCATTAGGTTAAATTGTATAGTTGCTTTTCTGGGCTCAGTATTAACAACATACAATTCAGAGGTTACCTCCATCCAGTCCGGGCATGCTTTGAGGAGTGGAAAATCAATTCGGGTTCAAATACTAGAGCAAAATTCTTCAGTAAGTTAGGTATACGTGATTGGAGAGAGTTCGTGCACAATCGCAGAATGTGACTAGACTTTGTGTTGAATTACGAAAATGCCGTTTGTAACACTACATTTATATGAGAATAAACGAATATAAAAATAGGTACGCTGTAGCGTACATGGCGGGTACTGGATCAAAAACAAAGAATGCTTAATTATCGTAAACAGTTCCAGAAACTTTCGTAGATGTGCGGGCTTTAATCTAACCAAAGAGCTTGTTCGCAGGAGAAGTGCCGTTCACTGGCATACATATATCTAATACTAGTGTTCCAGTTGGCGCTAAAAACTGTACACAAATTTCTCCATTCCATTTATTCACACGAAACCGGATTAACTATAGTCGAAACATGTTCGGAAACCTGGTGATTTTCATGTTGTACATAATCGTGCAACCGATCGATGTTTTTCTCTGAATGTCTTCGCATTTTTCGGTAGATATGAGACGACAAATTGTCATCTATTATATTATTATCAAATAAATAAATAAATACATTTGTTAAGCGCAAATTAGGATAGAATAGATTTGAACTGCCAGAGCTACTAAATTCAGTTATCAATATACACATATCAATATGCATTTTTAAAATATATTGACATTTGAATAAATGTATATATCAAAATATTATCTTTCGTTGATAATATAAAACTAATGTAATATTGAAAAAATGTACAAAACTAAAGTGTGCAGTATATCATGGTATAAGTTTCATTGTCCATACCATTTGCTATTTTGCTGCCTTGCAACCTGACAAATTTTGATTAGTAAAATAATTATCACATGCACGATTAAATTTGGGTTTTAAAAGTCTGAAGTTGTGTATGAATTGCTTTTCATGTACTTCAATTTCTTCACTAGAACGTTGATGTACACCAGAGAATCGAAATTTCTTGAGTCACTGACCAAATAGTCAATGTTTTATTAATCTGCATGAATATTGACATTTTTTCATCGGGCTCTTTCCTTGATTTAAAACCTAAAAAAAATAAAATTACTAAGATTTCATTGAAATGTAAATTCAGTAAAACCGCAGGAGTTGATTTTCTCTCGAACGTGAAATTTGTTGGGTTACACTAAGCATATACTACAAATGGTATGGGCAATTATTAGTGCAAAGAGAAGAAATAGTGTAAATTCGCTTCTTGGCACAGTTCTGTGAGAACAGTTTTGGGATCACAGTAATTGGCCAAAAGCTATTGTGATTCCCTGCAATGTTTCATTAATATTTCATTGTTTGTTATGTAATGCTGACGTTGTGATCAACGCTTGTAAAATTAAAAATATATATAATTAAAGTGAGAACGAAATAACTACTTTCATAAGCTATAAAACTGCTGTAAATCTGAATGAAAATGAATAAAATGTTGAAGTTGAGTTTTCTTTGTCCAGTACGTATTAAAAGTTGAGCATGATCGGTAATCTTCTGTGTTGAGTTAAGCCTGGATTCCATATAATCGTAAAAATAGAGTTACTATCTTTCTCAACGGCCAGTACACTGCATAGACGGATTTTCATATTTATTACTGGGGTGGTGCCAGAAATTTTAGGGGGGTGAGCCGTGAGCAGGTGCCAAAAATGCCAAACGTTCCTTGCGTACAAGGCACTGCAAACTCTATTCAGGGGAGATAATAGAGTTTCAAAACTTTACAATTGCTCCAATAAACCAGTGAATGCAAGCGAGGAGCGATTAGTTTCTGGACTATTTAATTATTTATTATGCCGAAATTGGGGGGGGGTTGAAAATTTTTTTGGAGGGGTGAACATTTTGTTTGGGGGGGTTATAGCTAATATTGGAGGGGTAGCACCCCCTGCACCCCCCAGAAAATCCGTCTATGGACTATACTGTATAATAGTTTATACCTGTAAACCACATATAAACCAACAAGTATTCTCTAGTTATAATTCACTCCGCGTATTTTCAGTTCTCAAAAGTTGTGTTTCGGCTGATGCAAAAGAAGATCGTGACTCAATCTTTACGACCATATTGAAACCAGGGGAAAACTGGTTTGACAGGCTTATATGGTACTCTCACAACCACCATGCGACCCGGCCCCGACCATAGATATCTTATATACACTAGATAGTGCATCTAATTATTCTGCAATTCAAAAATTGAAGCCGTGATTGCAGACGCAGGATATTCCCATGAAATGAGAAGACTCGTGGTTTTCTATTTCTTAAACAGAGAACTTAAACATTAAGTTAAACCTACTCCAAATACATTTTCAAACTATATTCAAATGATGAAAGTTGTTTTTAAGCGTTTATTAGCGAGTGGGAAACTTCAACATGGCCGCCACCTATTCAAATGGGGGTAACTGCTGGAATATTCTTGGTTTCAATTTTACTAAAAGAGATGCGCTATATCTAGTGTATATAAGAGATATGTATGGCCCCGACCCATATGGGTTTGATCACGGAGAACCTAAAGCTCCCTATACTCCAGATAGTAAAGCCATGGTGGATCCAATCCTGGAAGGAGGTTGAAAGTCGAACAAAAAGATGTTTTAATTCCTTTCGCTTGGTTAGCATTGTATAGAGTGTTTGTCATATCCGCTGTATTGTCGCTATTTACAGTCGATTTCAACTTTTCACTAAAATGTTGCGAAGTTCGCAACATTTTAGTGAAAAGTAAGTTGAAATCGACGGTAATGACCAGGGAGAGTATGTTTTACAATTCTTCTCTGAAGGCCTAATTCCACGACGAGCGAAATGCGAAAAGGTTGAACGCATGCGCAACATGATTTTGGAATGTTTCTCAGCGAAATATTTCTCTTCGCAGGGCAGTTGAATTGGTTTCTATACTCCGTTGCGAAATGGAAATAGCGAAACCAATCAAATGCTTGTGTTATGGATGACAAAATAGCGAAACCAATCAAATGCTTGTGTTTTTGGCGAATTTTTTCTCTACTGTGGAAATCACTACGAGAGAAAATTTTCGCAC